CGTTCCCGTATCCAGGCTCCACGTGCCTGCAGAGGAGCAGCAAGTCTCCAGTGCTCCTGGTCTGCAAATAGGGGTTAGGAGTGTGTGTGAAAGCGATTCTGTGGATACAAGGAGCCCTATCCCAATGGCTTCCCAAGTGGGAAAGGTTCACATTGCCTTGAATTGTGAGGGTAAGAGCATGTGTATAGAGATGCTTACAGCAGAGTCGTCAACACGGTATAAATTTATAACTGCCACCTCCCAACCTGTTAGTACAGGGTGCATCACGTCTCCTCAGCTCAAATCAGCCCCTATTCGCTTCTGCTTGTGTTCAGCATCTCTGCTCCCATCCAAGAGGGTGATGATGGATGAGTTGATGATAGCAGTTTCTGCTATCCAGCAGCCCTGGAGCCTCCAGGGGCTGCTGAGCTAACCACAAGTCTTTGGGCTGTTGAAAATTTGGAAGGAGACATCGATTCTGTTGGCTTGTGGAAGAATACCTTGAAAGGCAGGATTAAGTGGGGCAATCTGTTTAAATGGCACTTAAAAGAGGAGGTAAATATGTGTGGCCTTAACCGTCACCTGAACATGCCTTGAAACAGGGGTGTCTGGGGAAAATATATGACTCTTGGGTGATGGAGACTGTTGCAGCCTTTCCATCTGTGCTGGAATCTAAGGAGATTCCTCAGCTTCTCCTGCAAGCTCCAGAAGAAGCTGGCAATGACTAGAAACTGGTGACGTGTTGCTGGTGTTAGCCTCTGGCTGGAAGCCGTGGGGTTGCTGGCATCTCTGCGGCAGCCTGGTTTTTGTGGGTGGGAGAGGAGGATGCTCGCCGTTTTTTTGCGGTGGTGTCAGGTTGCCCAGGCTCGCCGGGGCTTGTTGGGCTTGCTGGGGAGAGCAGGGAGCTCTGGGCCTGGCTTCAGCGTCGTCCTCCGAGCTGCCAGGTGGGGTGTGGTAGGCAGGTGGGGTTTGTGTCCATGATAAACCTACCTGGAGTGAGTGCAGGGGGGATGCTCTCTAGAAGAGTGTTTGGGAGTACCAGTATGGAGGGAAAAATTATGTCATTACGGTGCTGTTACCTCTGCTTGCTGCTTTGGGGAGCAGCGTACCAACACGCAGAGGCTCCACTTGTTTGCTAGACATGTATACGCTGTGTGTACGTATGTTCAGCCATGCATTACCTGTGGGGATGCATTTATGTGTGTACATGCTAAATAGAGATGCAGATTAATTACATTAGTTAATGAAATTTACTTTTTGATGAATTGAACTGAAATTTCCCCAATGACGCCCTCTGTTTCCCAGCAAGGTGCTTGTACCCCGTCCTTTCCCATCTCAGGGATGTGTGCCTGGAGAATGAAGAAGGAAAATCAAGGATGTTCCCAGAGGGAACATGCCAATTTTTTTAAATGGAGGAAGCAGGCATAGTTCGGGCTGAATTAATGCATAACTGGATCAATTAAAGCAAAAAACCAGTAGGGACGTGTCTAGTCAGGAGTTAGATGCAGTCAGTTAGATACAGCCAGTGCTATTCTCTGTTTTTATGGCATGAACCAAGCAATTTGTCTTAAACCTGTCAAACTGATGAGCATGTAATTGTCACGCCGTTGTTCCCATTCACTTCTGCCCGCCCGCGTGCCTTTGCCTTTGTGAGCCTGTCGGCGCAGCGGCCGGGCGGCGAGCAGCTGGCGGTACTAACGAGGACGAGGTGGGATCTTCCTGAACCCTTGCTTTCCTGTGGCATGGAGCAATGTTTGGGGCAATTCCTGCTTGCTGTGGTGTGGCTGCTGCATTTCTCTCGGAAGCAGGCCTGCAGGCAGATGATCGGCAGGTATTGGGGCACACCAAGTTGCTTAATTTACTGTGTGGTGTCCTCTGCTCAGGGGGAACCAGGGTCTGAACCGGCATGCCACGTCTGAGCCGCCGTGGGGCTGCCTTTTGGTGTGGCTGCTCATGAATTATTTGGACCTGCGAGGTACCATTTACTCCTCAAATCTTCTCATCCTTTTTTCCTTTCACGTGGCATCAGGCAGCCTCGATTTCTCTCGATCGCAGAAAACTTTGTGCTTGAGTTGGGTGGTCCCTGGTAGCCACAGGTTTTGGCTTTGGGTTTTGACCTGCGGGTGCACACGAGGGGTGTTTGTCTGCTGGGTGCTGTGGCTGTTGCTGGGCCTTTCCGGAGGCCACTGTCAGTCCTCTGCTCGCTGTCACCCTGCCTGGGTCCGAAACCGAAGCAGAAGCAGGGGTCAGTCCTGCAGCCCCTTCCCTGGGGCGTTTGCACCCCTGAGGGGGTTATCTTCTTCCACCCTGGACAATGCAGCATTTCACTGAACAAGAAAGGGCCTGGATATGATCTGAGCTGCAGCTTGTCCTGTGGCAACTCCTCTGGGCCCATTTTAGAAGAAAGTTTAAGAGAAAATAGCTGGGTCAAGCAAGGGGAACCTGTGCAGAGGTGCTGCTGACCTGAGAGCTTTGTGCGGTTCCCATCAGAAGGAGCTGTGTAGGGGCTTTCCCCTGCCCTCCTGGGCTTCCTCTGGAGAAATTTTGTCATGGAGGCTGCAGAAAAACACATTGCAGCAGTAAGTGTTTCTCTCACCGCCATGCAAACGGACAGGCTTGCACATGCATGGGCGCCCTGCCCCAAAAAAGCTCCTGGCGGGTCCCACACGGGTGTGCTCCTCACCCCATGTGCCAGCACTGTCTCGCCCTCGCTGTGCGTGTGCTGCTTTTGTGGACACCCCTTGCTGGGATGATGAACATCGGTGCAAGTGGTACCGTGCCAAGAGCTGTCTCTCCTGGTGTTACGAGCTTGACTGCTGAAGAGTAGCAGCTGGGGGAGGAAGCCACCATCCTCCTCTCCGCAGGCTGCCCGCCCCTCCTGGCTCTTGTTCTGCTACCCCAGCCCCAGCCAGAAAATTAAGCCCTAATTCAAAGCCCTTTGAAGTCGAGTCTTTCCGTTCACATCAAGAGGCTTTGGAGCAGACCCCAGGGAGGATCGGAAACCCTTGATAAAGGCTGCAGTTGCACGAGCAGCCCTAAATATCGTCCTGTTTGGATACTTCTCTCCGGTGTTAGTTCCTGGGGAATAACTAAAGGTTCCTGGCTGCGCTCATGGTGCTGTTGGTGTTGCTTTTTGCAGGCTGTCCTTTCTAATAGGTGGTCAGCAGAAATGAGCTGGCAGAGGTGCTTGCCTGGAGCCGTGGTCTGGGCACTGAGAGAGCAGGAGAGCATCTCCCTGTGGGTGAGAAAGGCCCGGGCAAGTGCCTGGACCCTGCTGGCTTTTCACTGAGTTTAGGTCAAACCACATCCAAGATAAACTTTTCTCCAAGGCTGCCCTAAACATGCTGCTCCAAAAGGCTGGGCGTTGTTTTCAGTTTTGTGAGGGATTCTGATTTTTATTTTGTCATGCTGGAGATGATTAAAATAGTCCCAGTCCTCCTTTCTGGAAGTCCATCTGTTTACAGGATGCGTTCCAAGAAATTTGTGTTTGCATCCATCCTGTGTGCCGCCTCCTTGGCTGGACTCCGCTGCTGGATGCTGGAATGCAAATCTCGCATTTTTCGAATAGCATTGGGACCTCATAGTGAGAAAATGCAGCAGAGAGCCTCTGTCTGCGTCCCCGAGCCCCACGGCTGAGGCTGTCCTCAGGGGGGTCCTTGGAGCGCCCCGTGGGGTGTGAAGGCGAGATCTGTCAGACGACCTCTCCCTCCTCTCCCATCCTCTGCCATGCCGGAACATCAGCAAAAAGTGGGGTTTATTCAGCCCAGCTCCAGTTTTTGGCTGTGCAGCTAAAGGAGGGGCTGGCGTGGCTGCAAGCATCTTCCCTGCATTAGTTCATGTCATTTTAGTCCATCAGCCCTGGAGCAGAAGACGGTTGTCTCTATTGTTATAGTGCAGAAATAAGTGGGAATCGGCTGTTGAAAATTCAGTAAGTTTTGGGCATGCAACTCTCTCCCTTTGGCCCTTTTTTGGGGGGGGGGGAAATAAAAAATTCAAAAAAAGGCATTGTAACAAATGGGCTCTTTGCAAAAGGCTGCATTGTGCGTCCGGTTGTTCCCGAGCGCTGCCCGCACAAGGCTGCATTGTGCACCTCGCATGGGGCTCGCAGCGGGGCGGCGCGGGCTGCCGCCCCCCCCCCCCCTGCCGCGGGCACAGGCCACCTTTTCACCCCCTCCCATGCAGCCTCTCCCACCTCCCTTGTTCTCCAGCAGAGCCACCCAGGACAGCCTGCCCACGTCAGACCGCTCCGGCTGTGCTCCGCCTCAGCGACCGCTTGCTCTGGTCGCTGGTTTTTTTCCACGTGATGGTGTCACCCCGACGCCTGCAGCGCAGAGGTGTGCGGGAGGGGGGCACGCGGTGCTTGCGCGGGGACGTGCGGCGTCTCGCCGGGGGGAGAGGGCGCAGGTCCCCGGGGCTGCAGCTTCACATCGTGGCTTGGCTCTCCGGGTTGGTGGGTTTGGCCTGCTTCCTGCTTCCTTGTCCTCTCTTCTCTCTTCTGCAAAGCTCCTTCGAGGCAATCCGCATGCAATAAGTGACGGCTTCTCACCTTTTCCCCTCGAAGGGATGGGAATCGGCTGTCCAGGCAGCAAGCCAAACACTTTGCCTTGCTTTCACAGGGCTGGGAGCAAGTGCTGCAGCTATGCTGGGCTGCTGTGGTGGTCTGTGAGCAAATTCAATTTTCAAACCCTCGTGGGATTTCTCTTTTGGTAGATCCCTTTGACAGGCTCAAGGCTCAGTACAGGCTGCTTTTGAGTACAGCCACCACAAGTGACAGCAGCTTCTCCTTGTCATCTCCTGTTTGCTACAGATAGCAACGCATCAAAACAAAGCTCCTGCTGCAGGATTGATGTCTCTCCCTCCCCTTCCCTCTTGTCCATTCTTCACCCCCCCCAGGAGTTTGGCAGCACGAAGTCCATCACGTCGCGGTGCGACTTCCTGCAGAACCTGATTGCAAATGGTTGTGCCGGTGCCATTGAAAACCCCAGCAGCAGCATCAGCGTGGTGAAAAATGTCCCTCTGAGCAGCAAGGGCTCTGGCCAGACCCACCTGGATGTCACGCAGATCACGCCTCAGAAGGTCGCCTTGAATCTTCGTCCTGGTGAGTCCCCAGTGGCACCGAGCTGTTATGCTGGGGTGTGCTTGTTGGGGGTGACAAAGGGTGGCTGGGACATGCCGAGAGGGTGTTTGTTATAGCCCGTGACCTTGTAGCCCGCTAAAGAAGGTGGCTGCTGGCCCCTTCCAGAGCCTGTGAACTTTGGTGGTGCATCACGACCAGGTTTGGGGCTGAGGTGTACGTTCCTGATGAGAGGACACTGCTGTTACGCAAGTTCAATCAATCCCACCCAAGACTGTTGTCAGTACTAGTCTTAACCTTTGCATGTGTTTAAAAGGAACCTGCTCGACTCAAACGATGTAATGCTGGGCGGAAGGAGTTAAAATAACTTTGGATCCTCCACCAAGCTGACAGTGCTTGACTCTGAACTGAGACAGCTCCTTCTATAAATTGGAAACAAAAACGCATATCTGTTTTCTGTCGGTATGCAAAAGAGACGTGGGATCAAGGCTGAAGATGGAGTTTTGAACTTGTGACTCAGGCCTTGGACTGTGGCCAGATCCCCGTTTCATTCCCCTGAGCCATCACTTTTCTTCAATCTTTTCCTTTTAATTAAAAATTAGAAGGGAAGGGTTAGGCTGAGCCATGCGGGTATGCTTGTTATCAGAAGTTTTTGCGTGGTGGGGGGAGGCTTTAATGTGGGTTTAGTATTCTTGCAAAAATTTGGCAGCCGATATTTCTGAAGTGGAAAAAAAAGCAGCTCTTTATTGCGAAGTTAAGAAGCAAATATAAAAGCTCGATTCATTATAAGCAATTGGTGTGGGTTCCTACGGCTTACAGTTTTGTGATGGCTCTCATGAGCATTCAGAAAAATGAAATATGATGTTTGCTCAAGAAAAACAGGAGTTTATGCTGGTGCTTATGCTACCAGTGTGCTCCCAGAGCCTACTGATTGCTGCAGGATTTTTTGTTTTAGTTCTATGGGTTGGGTAGCCCTCATGGCTCTTAGTTAACTCTTCCTAAGCAGTATGACTGCTGTCATCGGTCAGACACTCAAAGGTAAAGAGATTTTGCTTCAAAGCCTTAAAGTAGATACCTGAGGGTAGTTGTCACTGGATGCGTGACTAGATGTATGGCTTCTGCAACTGGATGTTGCTGATGAAACAGGTTTGCTCCCATAAAAAAAAAGGGAGTTGTTATTACTCCTGTTTCTTGAGGCAATTCCTGGCTGAAAGGGCTGGCTCAGCTTCAACATCTCATCTCCTGCAGACCTTGCTTCACGCCCAGTGCTCAGCAAATTCCCCTTTCCCAGTCCCTGTGGGGTTTGCCCAGCCGGAGGCGCGTGTGCCCCCTGCTCTGGTCTGCAGCAGGGCAGGGGGGTCCATCTCCCTGCGGCTTCCCGGGGGCCGCGCTGTCAGTTGCTTTTGGGCCGGGGAGCTCCCCTCCCTGTGCGCCCGTTGCAGAGCATCGGAGTCATTGCAGGAGGAGCGACATACCTGGACATTTTAAATGTATCTCCCATTTTTGCTCTCTTTTTGATGTTGGGCAGCGCTCCATCTTACTCAGTGCTGATGACTTCCTAAGCCCTTGTGTTAGCATCCCCAGTTTAAATTATCCATTAATCCTTGAGCTTGAGAATGGGTCCTGAGGGTTTCACCCTGTGAACCCAAGACAAAAAGGAGACAATGTTGATTTAATTTTGGGCATGAAGAGTGTACTATTTCAAAGATGAATTCACACGGCGGGCTGTAGCGATGGTGATCTTTTATTCTTAGACCGCTAAGCAGAAGCAGAAGGGAGCGAATTGTCAATTGTTCGCTGATCCCACCCAGGCAGTTTGATCTCAGCATCCCGTGGCAGAAGTCACATCCCCAAATCTTCGTGCCCACAGCTAATTTGCAAAGGTCTTAAATTGATGTCCTACAACAGGATAGCTTTCAGATTGCTCATTTAGTTTTTATAATACTGGTTTTTAATCTTGGGTCCAGCTATAAAGCAGTGTGTCCTGGTTAGGTGAAAAATATGAATAGTGTAAAAGGAATTAAAAAAAAAAAAAACAAAACAGTTGCAAATTATGTTGCCCACAAAGTCGTAAGCCTCACCAAGCAGAAAGAAGAGATTTTTGTGGATAAGTGATTGTCAAGTTTGTGTTCCTAAGTTGGCCAAAAGCATTGTTTCCAGTTTGTGCACTGCACTCTGTATCCAAGAAACATTTCTGAATTCAGGTTTGAGTTAAAAACTTTTCAGTAAAAGCCATAAGGAGAGGATGGTGGTGACAGTACGTGGGGAGGGAGGGTGCTGGCTTGTCCCTCATAGTGCAAGAGTAATATTGTGCACAAAGAATAATAAATCCTTTTGCACTTACACCTGCATACCTTAGCGATATTTTCTCTGAGATAATTGATTTGTGCCATTAGGAATGACAGAAGAACCAGGCCTAGGCTCCCATTATTTTCGGTTCTTCTCAGGGACTAATAAGTTCATAACTATTAAGAGAAGGTTTCATTAGAGCATCCCAAATACCCTTTCTGGCACAGGAATTCCCATCTTAGGACCTGTTTGAGAAGAAGAGTGTCTTGGAAACAAAAATGTTGGGAAATGCAGGACACATCCTCTTTTTCTGAAAGGGTTGAGTATTCCACTGGGAAAAATATGTAGGAATGAAAAAAATAGGCATGGGAATGAATTTTCCTGGAGCTAAACGCATTCTTGCAGCGCTGAATTACTCAAGCTTGCAATCACTGTTTCTTACCCTGCAATCAGTGCTAACAGACATTGCGCTACACAAACGATACGCTCCTGTGTTCACCCCGAAAATGAGTGACAGGCACAGCATCCAGCCCTCCTGGTTTGCTTGAGCCGCCTCGATGGCTTTGCTTACCCTGTGCTGTGCTGGATCCCGCTGCGTACCACATCTCAGCGCTGTGCTGGGAAAGGCCAGCTCCTGCCGGAAAAGAAAGGTGGGGGCAATGAGGAGGAATATTTACGGCAGGAGTTTCCTGCTTCCCACAGCTGGCATCTAGGTGGTACCTACGCGTGCACGGTTGCGGACGGTGCCTCTGGCAGTCCTGCCTGGGCCAGGGGGGGTTGTAGCAGACTGCAGTGGGGAGCTGTGAGAAAGAAGCCCTGGCTTGGAAGCTGCCCTTGACCGAAATGTGCAGGGAAATCATTCAATAGAGGGAAGGTCTTGGTTTAGGAGCTGCCTCCTCTGGTACCCCCGCCCCAAGCTGGCTGAGATGCACAGAGAACTGGGGGAGCAAAGAATGCAGACCCAGGTCTAAATCCTTCACAGCTTTGCTTGCAGAAGAGGCAAGCTCTGACTTTTGTGCACATCCCCCTGGGTGCTGGGACCCCGGCCCCTTTCCCGGGGCTGCTGCTGGGCCAAAGCTACTGCTGCAGAGGGCGGGGAGAGGGTGTCCTCTTGCTCCCTGCGGATGGGGACGGCTACAGGAATCTCTACGGAGCAGGTCCTGGAGCCAGGGGGGGTGTTTGGCCCTCCGTGCGGCTCGGCACAGCGTGACCCCAGGCGCTGCCCGGGGCTGCTGCCTGCCAGGCTCCAAAGCCCCTCATGCCACATCTTGCCGGCGTGGTGGTTTTGGGATGCTGCGGCTGCGTGTTGTTGGGCTGGAAGTAAGTGGGAGCAGCTGTGCTGCTTCAGACAATGAGGAGAACAATAAAACGGTTAGGGAAATGTTTTCACAATACTAAAAAAATGTGTGTTTCATTTCTGGGGAAGAGGAGAGGGGAAGCCATGAGTGTTTTGTAGAACATGTTAGTGCCTAAAGTTCAGCTTCGGCCGTGAAGAGCTGGGAGAGGTGGGCAGGAGGGGGAGCTTGATCTTGAGAGGATCCGAGTCCCTGGGTCTGAGACCCGATGGAGAAAGGGGCTGAGGTGGCACGTGGGATCTCCAAACCAGCCTGGGGTTTGAGGGTGCTGGAGTCTGGGGTTTCTATTTAGATCCCTCTTGCAGCAAAGCATAAGGCAAACATTTGCCACTTCCTCTCTGGTTCCACCAAGGTCTATCTGGTGTGAAGTTGAGTTCACTTTAAAACCACTTCACCTTTTCTGAGGGGTGGGCAGTGCCAGTGGTGGCCTTCCCTTCCGGGCACCCCTTCTGGAGGGCATCTCTGGTGGCATGGGGGAAGGTCGGGGAAAGGCTTTCCTCTGCTCTTCTTCACATTTGCGCAACCTGTGACTCAGCCCTGTCAGCTCCTTCCCTTGTGTTTATCGCTTCAGGAAGCTTCCTCTCTGCCTCGGTACTTCCCCAAGTGACCCTAACAACCTTCTTTTTCCAGTTCACTTCCCTTTTGCCCCGCTTTCTCCAGAATGATGGTGGCACAGCTCTTTTTTGGGGGAAAGGTCCTTTTCAGAGGTGTTTCTTCTATGTCTGCTTTGACTTGACTTCCCTGCACAGCTGAGAGGGCGTCTTGCATTCATCTCATGCTGGCTGTTTTCTCCCATCCCTCTTCCTTCTCCTGCTCCACCTCCTTCTCTCTTTTGTGCAGGACTTCTTGGGCTGCTCCTGGCTTGCTTTGAGGATGTACCCAAGCAAGCACGTGCAGTGTCCCTCTTCCAGTAGTCCATGAAACATGCATTTGAGGTTCACTCTGCTCTCTTTTCTTTCCTGTTTTCCAAGAAAATGCCTCTGGACTTTATACAGTCCAGGGCAGCAGCATTTTTCATGTGTCCCCTCTTAGATGTTCTCTCAGCTGAGATGGAAAGACCCTTTCCCATATCTCCAAAGTGAAATAGAGACATGTGTTCTATAGATGTGCCTTTTCCTTGCCAGCCAGTACACTACATAGCTTAAAAGGTCGCAAAGTCATTACCTGCTTTCCTTTTAGTCTCCTAAGGGATGGATTTGGAAAAGCTTATTCCGCTCACCCTCTTCTTTGGACGTGATCTGTCTGCTCTGCAGGGGGGAAAAAAAAAAAGCCTGCGGTGTAGATTTTTTGTGTGCTAGGAGTTTCCTTTTCACCCCTCTCACCTCTTGTGTGTGTGCAGGTGACCGGACCTCCTTCCGCGTTCAGGTTCGGCAAGTGGAGGACTATCCCGTGGACCTCTACTACCTGATGGATCTCTCCCTGTCCATGAACGACGACCTGGATAATATTCGCAATCTGGGGACCAAGCTGGCTGAGGAGATGCGAAAGCTCACTAGCAATTTCCGGCTGGGGTTTGGATCTTTTGTGGACAAAAACATTTCTCCTTTCTCCTACACGGCACCAAGATACCAAAACAATCCCTGCATTGGGTAAGTGGTAGGTGTACCCCGAAGGGACAAGCTCTGTGTTTACACAGAGCCTGGCTCCAGTCTTCTCTTCCCATTCTTGTTTTAAATAACAAACCACACTTAAGCCCTGGCTTTTGGGGGTGCTGATTAGCCGCGGCTGTCGCTGTGATGCTCCAGAGCAATTCAAAATAAGTCAACTTCCAATTTTGCAGTGACTGTTGGGAGATCTCTGCATCTAGAGATGGGAAAGTGTTGTATCGGGAGCCTGAAGCTATTTTTAAGTACCTGAAGAGGATGCAGACATAGCAGGCTTTTTTACAGACTTTAAGAAAAAGGAGCAAGAGCCAGAAATTCCTGATTTCTGATCCTAGCTCTGAGTCATAGTTTGGCCTTCTTTGTCTCCATTTTACAGATAAGGAGATATAATTCCTTCCCAACAGAAGTGTTTGGGGGAAGTGAGGTTTGTAAGGGCCTGTAGGACTGATTAATGAGTTCTCGCAATGTGTTTTGAAGATGTCAGGCAGGTTTTTTCGTCTTAATTGCTGTGGAAGGAAAGCAAACTGGCAGTTGCAGAAGATATAAATGATGTGGTTTGCTTTGTGGTGATATCAGTCTTCCTTTTTTTTTTTTTTTTTTTTTTTCCTGCAGTCTTTACAGTCTCTTTGTTTGCCCTTTAACCGCTGGAGTTGGGATCAAGTCCACTGAATCCGGGATTACGCCAGAGTGAAATTGAGTGTAGTGGAGGGTGTCCAGGCTCAGATGGGTTTGGATGTTGGCATGAAAGGATGGATACAGCAGCAAGTGCCCTCCTGGGAGAATGCCACTGTTGGCACTTACCTTTGTGGTGCTGTCTTCACCTCCTCCATCCTTGGGGCGCTTCCTTGTCATGTAAGGGCAGCAAGGGTAGCATTTTTGTTTGAGCCATTTGTGGATACTTACATTGTAAGATCACAGCACAGACGGATGCCGAGCTCTGCAAGTGTGCATCCTTTAAGTTTTCTATATGAGAGGCAGTTGAAAGAGATCTTGCATCAGCTGTGAGTTTCTAGGCCAACTTTTGGCATTGACCAAGCATGCATTTGGCATCTCATTGCACATTGACCATTGGCCAGACAAAATTATCTGTATTCTCTTTTCACCGGTTCTGTCCGAAGAGGAAAGTCAGATAGATTTTAATACTAAAACCTCATGCTTTGGCCGTGAAGCATAGCCAAAACTGACCATGCTGACTGAGCCAGGGAGGTGGCTCCCTGCTGCCATGGCATCATGCACCAAGTTCTTCATAGCTTTTCCCCCTGAAAATTTAGCATGGTCTCAGATGGATGAACTTAGTCATCTCTCTTGTCCTCAGTCTCCATCACCCGCTGATGTTGCTTGCAAGCTTGCTTCAGTGGGGGAAATCTCAGAAAATTTGTTGGGCCGGTGTGTGATTTACTTTGAAGTGACATGGCTTTTGCTGAGTGAAATAGGATGAAAGGTGCAGGAGGGAAGGACAGGCATGGGAGAAGAGGAGAGGATGGAGCTGGACAACTCTGCAGTGAGGCATGCCAAAAACTGCTGATGCCCTTTCATCGAGGGTATCCAGAGCTGCCGCCTCATCTTCTCCCATCATGATCAGGCTATCTGCATGTCCTTTTGGTTTTACCCGGGTGGTTGCTTTTCTGTTTATGGGTTATATTAAGCCAGCCTGGTCTGGGAAACCATTTAGGAAGGATTGCTCAAAGCAACTCATCAGGTGGGCGCTCCTTTCCAGTCGCCATCTGCCTCCTCTACATCCAAACCAGGCGCGAGGGCTCCTTGTTGTCCTCCGGCAGCATTGCCTTCCCCTGCCTGCTCTGCCAGCACGCTGTCGCTCCTGCTGGAGCTGATGGGGCAGCGAGGTGGGTTGAGAGGTGTGGGTTTGTTTGCAGCTATTTCTAGTGTCAAAGCAGACTTTGTCCAGTGGCCTGCTTGCATCTAAAAAAAGCTGCAAGTAAACATAAAAGCTGCCGTGGGTGTTTTTTGCCCCCAGTCCAGGCTCTCTCCTCTGTGTCCTCATAGTGATGGCTGTCTTGGTAGTGTGGCTGTGTTTTTGTGGGGGGATCTGGCTGGGATCCCTTATGCCTCCTCCAGCCCACCCCAGCTCGGTGCTTGCCACTGCTCCTGGCTCAGCATCCCAGCTGGGACCTCCCCGGGAGCCAGGACATGGCCTCTCTAAGGCACGGTGTCATTCAAGAGAGATAATACGAAGGAAACAAACACTAAATTAAAAAAGATAAGGAAGGCAGAGGGTGTGACTGAACACCCAATTGCCCATCTATTTGTGATAGGACTTTGGGAGGTTACAGCCCGAGATAACCCACCCACATTGCTGTGTGCCCTTGCGTAGTCACTCAGATATCCGTTGCCTGTCTTGCTGCTGCCTGCAGCTTCTGCCAGCAAATCTGGAGTGTAGAACAAACAAAAAAAAGGATTAAATCACACATGATATTCTGTTCTGTTCTATTCTAAATGATAGACTGTTTTGGGATTGTAGAGAGTAGACAGGGGGTGAGACCTGAAGAGGTGGGACCCTGCAGTATGTCAGTGTTTTCTTTCTGGACGAGGACTTTGGCAAAGCAAGCACCCAGACGTATTGTATGGGTTAAGGGCTGCTTGCAGGGGCCCTGCAGTGCAGAGGTTTCAGATATTGCACGCTCCTCGCCTTGGCCCTAGGTGTGAGTAGGATGCAAGTCTGAACATGGGGCTGATCACAGGGGATGGCTCTAATGCCCATCCAGGCCCACAGCAGTGGGACCGGCCCTGTGGTTAGGTGTCTGCGTGGCTGTGCGGGTGGGAATCCCTGCTCTGGGGTCCCTTGTGAGGGATTTGAGTTCCCAGCAGTGGTAAATCTTAAATGCTCTTTTGTGTAAAAAGCCTCTTACAGCTTACCCATAGCGGGTCATGTGTCAGCAGAGGCCTTTAATTGTTCTCCGGGTTTTATCTTCGAAGATAAGCGTGAATTAGTGCCAGCCCAACTCCTCTTTAAACACATTTTCTTCTTAACCCTTGTCATCCCTCTCCCCTGCGCACACTCACTGATTTCCCATGCCGCAGGAGCTGCTCTGACGAGCTCTCCCGGCCACGTGGTGAGCACCAAAGCTGCCTCCTGAATGTTTGGTATGGAAAAAAGTTTTCCTGGTAGCCCACCGAGGCATTTCTCTGCCATAGGGTACCACTTCTACCTTTCTGCTCCAGTGGCGATCTGGAAAGCAGAGATGGAGTTTGCTCACCGGCTTGCAGGGAGAGTGGGAGGGCGTGTGAGTTGGTGTTAGTTATTAACGCATCTCGTGGTGTGCAATTGCCAGGTGCCTGGTGACGTGCAGCGGGTGCAGGGTGGCGTGTATTGCCAAGAAAACTGGATGACAGAGTGAAAATGCATATCGAAAAATAGGGAAGAAGTAGCTGTTGGCAGTGATGCCCACCATCCTGGGTGGTCAGGGAGGGTGGCTCTGCTCCTCCTGCCAAAATGTCCCCTCTGTATCACTGTGGGTTGCATCCTGCAATGCAGACTTCCAGTGTGAAAACTTCTTTGTGGGTGCTGAAACTCCAGAGCTGCATGGCCCCATGCTTGGTGTCTCCACTCGGACCTTATGTGGAGAGAGATGTTTGGTCCTGGTGAGATCTTTGGAAACTTCAGCTGCTCAAAGTCCCCAGGTGGAGAAACCAAAAAGATGGGCTCTACCGTAGAGTTTTGTAGATAAATAGCCAGAAATCAAAGTGTCCAAAACACTAAGCCTTGTGGAAGTATTTAATCCCTCTGAACAGAGGTTTGGAGACCAGCCTGATAGAGCTGGGAGCTTCTGCAGCTCTGGGCTGCTGGTGGGGTTCCTCCTAGCTGACCACTCCTCTGTTCCTCCTGCAGTTACAAGCTGTTCCCCAGCTGTGTGCCATCCTTTGGTTTCCGCCACCTCTTGTCCCTAACGGATAAAGTTGACCGTTTCAACGAAGAAGTTCAGAAACAGAAGGTTTCCCGCAACCGAGATGCTCCAGAGGGCGGTTTCGATGCCATTTTGCAGGCTGCTGTGTGCAAGGTGAGTCGCTCTGATTCCTGGGGTTTCAAGGCAAAGTAGAAGAGGAGGAGGTTTCTTCTGCTGTGTTCTTGGACCAGGGTAAGGCTTTAGTATGTCATTTCTTGGAAGTAACTACTAAATTTTTATTGCAGAAACCACAAAAGATGCCTTGAAAAGTAGAGGCTGTTGCTTTTGTATGCTTTTGTACGTGAACAGGCAAAGAAAAAAAGATTAGTAACTTTTCTAGTTAAAAATGGAGCTTTTGCAAATGCAGATTTTGGGGCTGAGATTTCATTGCATGATTAGACTTGTAGGTGCTGATCCCTGAGCACCTGGGATGAAATCCTTTAAGATTCCTGTACACTTGTGTGCAGCAGCACTGTGCATTGGCTTAATGCGTTTCCTAAGTGTATATCAGGCACATCTTGCAGTGGTTGACCCGTGTTGAGGGTTGAAGCTGGTTCCTACTGCTTGTGCCTGCCCCCTTATAGGGCTGGATGCTCCCACCTTCAGGCGCTGATTGCCTGCTCTCCCTCTTTGTCAGCAAGACTGGAGCTGTGAGGAGTAATTAAAGACAGAGTTCATTAGCTTGGTGCCATGTTAGCCACATCCTTAGGGGTTTTGGAGGTGTTTGCTTGAAGATCTTTCTGGAACAAGTAAGTGGCTTGCTCTGTATCCCCTTGTGCATCAGGGATTGCTCCTCTCCACTGTGTGGCTGAACTGGCTAGCTCGCCAGGACCGCTCTGGTTGCTTTTTCCCCTCTTGACATACAGTTTGGGGTTTGTTTGCTCCAAGCTTGCCTAGTCCTTTTGGTTGGGCATGTTTTCCTCTGGGTCCGGATTTTCGGAGCTGGGAGATAGGCATCGTCTGCAGGTATGATGGGATGCAGGCTTGTGGGAAACCAGATCCTACCTCACCTGGGCTGGCTTCATTTACACTCCCTGTTTGTGACAGGACTGAACCTGCCCCGTTGGATCTGATGCCACCCAACAGTCATCTTCCCTCTCCCAGCCTGGCACAAATATTGTTGTTGGCACAACTACACTGCTACTCCCAATACTCATCTTCTCCTTTTTGGAGAGGTGGCTGTCATGGTTAGAGCAGAGACATCTCAGGACAGTGACTCAGTTGTGCCACCCACCATGTGGTTTTTTTGCAGTCCCACCAAATTATTGCAAAAATGGGACGTTTCTCTGCAGTGCAGAGGTACTGCAGTGTGTATCACAAGGGCTCATTTTGGAGGTGTTGCCAGAAGGCAGGAGACCTGCAAGACATTTCCTGCATGTTTGTGCCAGTCTCAAACTGTTGGTAAGGACCAAAATCTTTGACTGTGGTTCTTGAGTGCACAGCCTGGTCCCTTCTAAATTCAGAAGATGAATTTAGATGGCTGGTGCCATCATCCTCTAGGAAGGGTGAGCAGAGGTGAGCATGTGTGCTTGCATGGCTCTTGGCATGGTGTGGCAGGTTATGACAGGAATTTCTGCAGCCGCCGTGGTTAATTAATTACCGGAGCTCAGGGGTGGGAGAGAAAGTCCATGGGACCTGTGTGCGAGGCAGGAGAACCGGCTGCACCGCAACTCGCCCTGCCTTGGCAGCTCCTTGCTGTGGGTGGAGCAGCTGCCTGCTGACGGCAGCAAAGGCTCTGCCTGTCTGGAGTTAGAATAGCCAAAATTTCGGGCCAGCTGATAGACGTCCTAAGCCCTGTAGCCAGAATGGGAGCTTAGTGATTGGTTTCCCTTGTGATGGCCATGGGTTGTGGTGGGGCTCAGCACCGTCGAGGTGGGTGAAGGTGGCAGTGAAGTGGCCACTTCACGGTGAGGAAGCTCTTTGCTGCAATGAACGGTGCTTTGCACCCAGTGGTGATTAGTGAAGGATTGTGGGGACTAAACCCTGCACAGGCAGTACTTTCTGCTAACTCAGGAGCTGCTTTCCCTGGTGCAGGGCGAGCAGCCTTACAGATAGCTTGGTGCCTTCTGGGGTGGGTTTCCTCATCACTACTGTGGCACCCTATTGCATCTCTCTGGCATGCCCCAGGTTTTTCCAGCTTTCACCCTCTCTACCGTATTCAAAACCCAAGATTTAAGGCAGTTATGACCTTAGGAAGTCTCGTGCCTTCGGGGCAATGCAGTGCGTTGACCATGAATTACTTCATCCTCAGCAGCAGAGTTTGTGGCATCCATGGGGACACCCTGGGGAGGGCTGGTGGTGGCATGGCAGAGCCTCGCTGTTTCCAAGCCATGGTGTCTGAGCGTGGTGTTCTCTTCCTCTGCAAGCGCAGAGGAAGAGAACAATACCTACTCTGTTGACTGGGTATTTTTATACTATAATTCATATCAAACGTTTCTTCTGCATGAGCTGTCTAGGAGCTCTGTAACACTCAAGTCATTTTTTGGCCTGATTTTCAACCCAAGGAGTGAGGAAAGTTTGTACAGCTAATACAGACTAATGAGCAGGCCCAGGGTTTGGCTCCTTTCTGAGAGATGAAGATATGGTAAATGTTATTCTGGAGGCAACGAAAGAGCCAGAGACAATAAGCCTTTATCCTGATGCTAAAATAGTTAGCCAGGAATATTAATCAACCTTCTGTAATTACATTTTCCATTTGCAGTATTTTGGTTTTCTGCCATTCTTTAAGTGCAAGCATCATATGGCTTGGTTGGTATGCGTAAGTTTCACATCTTGCATACTAAGATGCAGCAAGGAGATAATGCTGAATTAGAAAATAAAGTGTCTTTTGAAATAGTTTTGATAGGTGCTTGCTAGACACTGGTACATGGAGATGGCCAAAACATCTGGGAGACACTGAAGTGCCTTTCAGAGCTATGCAGAACGAAGGAGGTTTTGCTTCTAATCTCTAAGGCATACTTGTCTTGCACCTGTATCTGTTTCTTCCTTCCAAGAAGGTCTGCACCTGAGAAACTGGTGGGGCTTTAGACATGTTGATGAATCCAGGGGGGTCTCCTGGCAGTTGATGTCTTGGCAATTGAACCTTTTTTGTTCACTGCCCAAAGCATAAATTTAGATATTTATTTCAGGCTTGGAAATACTGATGCAGGGTTTTGCTGCCTTTTCAACAGAATTCGGAGGGCTGGGCTGGGCTGTGCTGAGGCAGCTGTGGCAATTTTGCCGGTTGCTGTTGGCTGTATGGAGTGGGAGGCTGGCGTTTCAGCATGGGGGAGGCAACTGCAGCTGGTCAGGAGAGTAGGGGCAGGACGTGTGGCGTGCCCAGCCCTGTGGAGACACGTCTTCCCGCCTCACTGTGCTCTGTGTCAGGTCCCACCCCTGCTTTCAAAATCCTTTGTATCCCATGAGGATCAAAAACCAGATGAGGGGGGCAGATGTCAGTGCAGGTTTTTTCGTTCAACGATCCTGATCCAGTAAAAATAAATGAAAGTCTCTTTGGTTATTTGTTTTAAACAGAGCAGAGTGCTGCTCTGGGTTTTGCGATGGAAACTGCGTGCCAAAGAGCTGTATTTTCCAGTGCCTGCAAACTGCTGGTGGAGGCAGCATGAGATGCGGTGGCTCCTCGGCATGCCGGCCTCTCCGGGTGCTTTCGATGCAGCATCGGCACTGGCTCGGCCGCCCCATCTGAGACACCCTGGTCTGATGCTCCGAGGCATCAAATGCTCTCAGTGCCTGGATCTTGGCACCGACACTGCGGGTGCTCATTGCTTTTTGGAAGGGAGTTCCTGAATTGAGCAACCAAAGCATTAGTGATGTTGTTTATGCGGGGAAGCATGTGTTGGAGACGTGGAGAGTTTGTCTGTAAGGGGATGCTTAGCCCGTGACTTAAAGGTGGGCTTAGCAGGCGGGGGAACAGATGAAGTGGCTTCATAACTGCTGCTTGGATGCAGCTCGTTTTATTTGTGCATGCCACATTTCTAAGGAAATGAAACTCAAATTAATCCTTTTAATCTCTTTGGGAGTTTCTTGGCCTCAATTGTTCAAAAAGAAAAGAAATCGGCTTTGGATCCGCAAAAGAAAGTGAACTGCACGGGCTTCTGTCTGGTGGCTGAGTAGACCGACAACTGCTGCTTGCATTGTTAGGGCTGTAATCACTTTTGGGTTGAGTTTTTACAAAATTACATTCTGGCAAGAAGATTTTGCCTTTTGTCCAGTGGGGTCACTTCAGTGGAATGACTCCTGCTTCCCAGAGAAAAAAAGCCCTCACTGCGTACTGAGCTGAACTGTAATGTGCTGATACGTGGCAAAGGATTTGTGCTGCCAAGGATTTCTTCCTATGGCCTTACTTGCGTTGCATGAGTCTTTACAATACCGTTTAAAAAAATATACCTTCTGCAATAGGGAGGAAAAAGAAATTAAATATGGAGGG